CAGGGATAAAAGACAAGGACAGATGTCCTAGGCTAGGGTGATGAAGAACAGGAGGAAGTGATGTATGAAGTAGAAAGGCTCAAGGAAGAGGTCAGGTGGGAGCCAGGCAGAAGGGGACAACATCCAGGGATCTTAATGTCATTGTTGATAACTGAGAGGTAAAGGAGAAAGTTGGCTAGTCTAAATGAGCATGGCTGGAATAGAGCTGTCTGTTTCTAAATTCCCGGAATCTGGTGCACTGCCTGAGACAAAGCAGATATTTGATAAATACTCCCTAAATAAAGGACAGAAAGATGGATAAGTGAGTAAATGAGTTTTCTAAGAGTAGACCTATATATCCCAATAAGGATCTCTGCCTCGCTTACACAGTAATTTGGTCATCTTCTCTTGTAGCAGTTACCATAGTCTGCTTTATTTGTAAGTTATGTATCTATATGTCTCCTTCTATAGATTGTTGTACCAAGAGAGCAACCACGGAGTCCTAGCAGAAAGAAGAATAACATCTCTTGCACAGAGTAAGTGTTCCATAAATACCTGTAGAGTTGCACTGAACTACAATGAATTTAAATGAATCACTCTTCAGTACTGATCAACTTCATGGTCCAAAATGAAAGTTTAGTTTTAGATGAGAGGGAGGGAAAGGTGAAAACAGACATAAAAGAACTGATAAATCAGACTCTAACTTACCAGATGTTTATCATTTTGGACATCTCCTCACTTCGTCACTTCTAGAAGAAAATGGCTACTGGCCATTAAAACACATATAATCACATAAACATACATATACACAAACATCTCAAGCACAACCACACACACACACAAGCATAAACTAGTTTATAGTAAGATTTTCTCTATAAATCAGATTGCTGACCCTAGTAATAGAAACCAGTAGATCTTAGCTTCAACATCTCTCAGCTAGTTAGCTTCCAAATGAGCAGGCATCCCCCATCTACTCTCCATTACAAAGGAACCATTCTCAAAGGGTCCCCAAACAGGTACCACAGACTTCAAGAGCAGAAATGGGTCTCTTCTTGGTCTCAGGATGAAAACAGATGTGTCTCTTTCCCTCCTAAAAGGAGACTCCCCTATGAGCAACTCACTCAGAGGCGGAAGGAAGGTAGAGAAAGTTCTTACAGGCCATCTGCCCACACAGGACCTTGATGGATGCCACATATATGACCACATCACCATGGCACTGAGACATGTGGCTCATAGTGGACCCAGTACACTCGATTCAGATCTACTTAAGAATTCAGATATCAATGTGCTTCTGATCAGTGGGTTTAATGAACAAAGAAACAAGTGCACAGATCTCGAGCCTGGAAGGAAAGATTTCGTAGTCCCTGCTCACTGTCAGAAGGCTTTTCTCCTCCTATCCACCAACCTAGTCATGCATCCTAAAAGGGCCAGTTCAAGTTTTACCTTGTTTGTGAACCCATCCCCCAATTATCCAAGTTCTCAGAAATTTATTTCCCTCTCAACTCCCATGTAAAGATTCTTGGACACCCTTCAGAATAAAGGTTTATACAAGAGTCTCTAGAGCTTTTGCTGAGTTCTTGCTTTGTGTGGTGTTTTGTTCTCAATTAGACTGTGAGTCCCAAATTTGAGCCCACTGCCTTGTCTTCTCTTCCACTTGATACCAGCTGCATCATAGAATATTCTAAGGAATTGGTTAAGTGATTGAGATACTTCCATAACAGCCCTACTGGGTGGAAACACAGTAATATCCCTTTTTAGCAGGTCTTGGTACGTAGCAAATCATCAATAAATATCTATAAGCTGACCATCTCCACTCTGGCACAGCAAGAAGTGCCCTCTCTGAATATCAGTTCTGAGTCCATTTACCAACCAGGAGAAATAGCAGAGAAAAAGCCAGCATCAACTGGCCCCTGAGTAGAGAATACACGTGGACGCCTCCAAGGGTCAGAACTGTGGAGAATTTTGGAGAAGCCCTGGTGGCACAGTGGTTTAAGAGCTTGGCTGCTAACCGAAAGGTCAACAGTTCAAATCCACCAGCTGCTCCTTGGAAATCCTAGGGGCAATTCTACTCTGTCCTATAGGGCTGCTATGAGTCGGAATCAACTCAATGGCAACAGGTTTCAGGTTTTTTGGAGTAATTACCTAATCCAAAGTCAGGTTTCCCCAGAAAGGGAAACTAAATTCAGAAAGGAGAGTAGTTTGCTCAAGGTCACACTGTGAGGTGGGGACAGCTCCAAGACTGGAACGTAGTCTTAACCATAGGGTGGGAGTAATCTACTCAAAGGGCTTTTAACAGTCCATTTCTTTCCTTCCTTCCTCCCTCCCTCCCTTCCTTCTAATCTCTAGATGTGCCATCCTTCCTTCCTTTTAATCTCTATATATGCCACTAGAATGTCAGCTCCATGAAGTCAGGATCATTTGCTGGCTTTTTCTCTGCTATATCGGAAACAACCTAGAACACTGCTGGGAATGTGGTAAGGACTCAATAAATAGTGCTTGAATAAATGAACGCATGTTTAAATGAACAGATGGCTAATACTCTGACAATGACGTGGAAGCACAGAAGAGCAACGTCTCACTTCCAAAATCCAGAGGCAGGTGGAAAAAGAAGAATCGCAGAAGGACACAGAGAGGGCACTCTCCGAGAGGTAGGAGGAAAATCAGAAGAGTGTGATGCCAAAAGCCCACAGAGGGGAGAACTGCTAGAAGGAAAAGAGGATTGATATGTCTTCATTCAAGAATTGTTACTCATCAGCCACTTTGGGCCCCAGAGCCAGGATACCAGGGTGAGACAATGAGGTGCCTAGGGTGTAAAGTTTCAGGAGGCACCCACTCTCAGCGTCATGCAAGGCAGGATCAGTACCGGAAAGCAAGTGTCTCCTTAAACTTTGTGCCTTTTGGTGTCTGGCTTCATTCTAGTCCCAGCCCTGCCGGGTCCAGCACTGTGCTAGGTGCACGGGTATAACAGTCAACAAGAAATAGCCCCTGCCCTCAACAAGCTTAAGGTCTAATGGGCAGACAGCTAAACCAGTGACTCCAGTGCAGGGATGAGATCTGATGGGAGAAGGCAGAGGAGCCATGGGGGACAGACAGGGGCATCTCCATCAGAATGTGGGCTCAATAAATGAGCCAATCACAACCCACATCGGGAGAGGGTGGAAAAGCATTCCAAGCAAGGGAACAGCATCAGCAAAGACTAGAGGGCTTGAAAGTACATAAAGTGGTTTGAAATGTTGAAGTATAGCTAGAAGTGGAAAAAGATAGGTAGTAAATGAGGATAGGGATGTAGGCTCCCATTTTGAGTCCTTTCAGACTGGAACTCCAACTTTCTCTTCACCTTTGTATCAGTATCTGGGGTGGTTTTCCTTGGAAATGGTGCACTGCCTAAATAAATTTGGGTGGGACATCAATCTGTCAGTTCTGCCTGGTGCTGGCCTCTGAGGGAACAGGGAGGAGCCCCACAGAGCCTCTGCTGCTCAGTTAGATGTATTTTTAGCCACAGCAGAAAAAAAAAAAAATGGCAGTGTGTATTTAATTAAAAAAAAAAAAAATCAAGCCCTGGGAATGATCTAGTGCCCGTGTTGGAGCAATCAGGGACAGAATATGTTTCCAATTGAATTACTACTGTGGTCATAGTTATAAAAAGAGAGAGGGAGGAGAAAAATGTGAGGCTGGTCAGCTTCTCGAGAGCATTTAATCTTGGTTTGCTCTAATTTTAACGTTCAAAGACACATGAGCCAACTCTGCCCTTAGGAGTTATTTCAGGAGGACCGGCCAATGCCTGCAATGAGCGGTGAATGCTGGGCGGCCTCCCTGGCTGCTGTTTTCTTTCTTTTCTTCCCTGTCACCCCCAGTTTTGGCCTCCACCAGTTCTTCTGCTCACAAGCTGAGGAGGTACAGTGTGAATAATCACGATGAGGGTAAATTTAGACTCTGACGAAACCGAGGGATGTGGGGCTCCAAAGCTGGGGCTGAGGGAGAGGCGGGGACTGAACCACAAGAAGAGAGCTTTGGGGACTCGTGGGCACTGTGCTTCCTCAGTGCTTCCACAATAGTAAAGTCTCCCTTTCATGAATTGTCCTGGACTGCATCTCATAACCTGGTCATCTTTACCTTTGCCACGTCATCTGTCTCCTGGTCCCCTCCCACGCTTTACCATCTCCTCTAGTGAAAAATCATAATGATTAGCTGCCACCAGTTGGGGGCCTCCTTTGTGCCACACGCTGGCTGAGCAATTAGAGAAGTTATACCATCTCACCTTTATACGGACATTAAAAGTATAAACCATTTATTCTCTGTTACTAGCGAGGAGGCTGAATCGCTAAGAGGTAAAGTCATTTTCCAAACGTCACCTAGCTAATAAGTGACAGAACCTGGATTCTGGCTCATTCTAGAGTCCATCCGGGCTTCCTGAGTGGTGCAAACAGTTAATGCACTCAGCTGCTAATCAAGAGGTTGGCGTTCAAGTTCACCCAGAGGCACCTCAAAAGAAAGTCCTGAAGATCTACTTCCAAAATATCAGCTATTGAAAACCCTATGGAGCACAGTTCTACCTCACACACATGAGGTCACCATGAGTTGGAAAAGACTTGACAGCGACTGGTTCAGAGCCCATCCACCCTCTGCCCAGTGTTACCCTGATGTCCCAATTGGAGCCATTTCTTTAGATGCCGTGCACCTTATACTCCCATACCTTGCACATGCTGCCCCTCCCCTGAAATGTCTTCCCATGCCTTTTCCTAAAATTCTCTCCTAGAATATCTTTGTTTTACTGCACAATTCTCGTGCCATGTATTACCATTAAAATTAGTAATAACTATTGTACATTGGAAACCCTGGTGGCATAGTGGTTAAGTGCCATAGCTACTAACTGAAAGGTCAGCAGTTCAAATCCACCAGGCACTCCTTGGAAACTCTATGGGGCAGTTCTCCTCTGTCCTATGGGGTCACTGTGAGTCAGAATCGACTCTATGGCAATGGGTTTGGTTTGGTTTATTGTATATTAAATTCCGATTGTGTGCCAGGCATTGTTCTAACTACTTTGCATGCATTATCCAATTTAATCTTCTCTTTTCAACAATTTTATGACTTACTATTACCATATCCATTTTACTGAGGGAAACTGATGCATAGAGAGATTAACTGATTTGACCAAGCTTACAGAGTTGGTAAGTAGTACAACTGGAAAAATAACTATCATTAATTGAGTAATTACTACATACCAAGCCTTGGGCTTAGCACCAGACATGGCATTGCACTTGATCTTCACAGCAGTTGCAAGGTAGCATTATTAATCCTCTTTTGCAGATGAGAAGACAGAGGCTAAAAGAGTATAGAGTAACTTGATCGAAGCTACAAGCCAGAATGGGAATTCCGATTTGAGAACTATCCAAGTCCATTGCTCTTATTCTCTGCAGTATTAAAAAAAAGAAAAAAACCTGTTGACATTGAGTTGATTCCAACTCACGGCAACCCCATGTGTTCAGAGTACAATTGCTCCATAGGGTTTTTAAGGTCTTTCAGAAGCAGATCACCAGGGCTTTCCTCCGGGGCACCTCTGGGTGGGATGAAACTGCCAATCTTTTTGTTAGTAGTCAAGCGCTTAACCATTTGGGCCACCCAGGGAATCCAAGTTGCTTCCATATCGGTCTTTTCAATGGATTGTCACTCCTTTAGGACATAAACCAGGCTTTCTTCATTTCCCACAGCCCAGCACTCAGCACAGTGCCCCGGACACATAGGTTCTCAGTAAATGTTAGATGAAAGGAAGAATAAATATAGGGCATTAGTAACTAGTTTCCAATGTGTTATGTTTAAACACATTGGGAACAAGAACCCAGAGTTGACCGTGGACCGGCTGGTGACAGACATTCTTAGGACAGAGGACACTCCCAGTGTGTGTGCCTCCTGCCGGCTGGCCTGGCTGTCAGGTCAGATCGGTCACTGGAAGGCACCACCCCCAACCCTCCAGGCCCCCAACCCCCCGCCCCCCGCCCCCTGGCTCCGGCTATCTGCTCCTGCAAGAGGAGAGGTCGGCCCTGCCCCCGGCCCTCCTCACTGCTCCTGGCCCTCACACAGCTGCCCCTCTCTCACAAGGCCTTGGCTCATTCCAGAGCCCACCCAAGATCCCTGGGAGGTGCAAACAGATAACACACTCAGCTGCTCAAGTTGTCTGCAGGCAGCTATGATAAGGATCACGAGACTGTTGACGTCCTTGCAACGCCCCCTGGAATCCAGCTGTCCTTACGGGGCCTTCACTGCGTCTTTTCTCAGCTACTCTGCATCATGACTGAGGTCAGAAAGTCCTAAAGGCCCTTTTGAAATAAAAAGTTAAAGTGGAATTGCCCTGGGGCTTCCGAGAGCAGGTGGCACACTCCTCAGAATAAGTCCCTGCAGCTTCTTCATGACTGCCACTGTTTCCCTTTCAACCAGCCTCAGAGCTGGAGAGAGCTGGATTCCAAACCTGCTTCTGCCCCTGCTTAGCTAGGTGGCCTTGGGGAAGTCATTCACCTCTCTGAGCCTCCATGTAAACCTGTTGCAGTCAGTCGACTCTGACTCCTGGCGACCCGTGTGTGTCAGAGCAGAACTGGGCTCCATAGAGTTTTTAATGGCTGATTTTTTAGAAGTAGATCACCAAGCCTTTCTTTCAAGGTGCCTCTATGTGGACTCAAACCTCCAACCTTTCAGTAGGTAGATGAGCACTTAACCATCTGAGCCACTCAGGGATTCCCGAACCTCCATTTACCCATCAGTAACACAGGATAACAATCCTGAAATTTCAAAGTTGTTGCAAGATGAGATGATGTCGCGAGTGTACGGCAAGAGAGTGAAAAGGTTAAGGACATGGTCTTTGGCGTAGAGGAAGAATCTCAGCTCCAGCTCCTGTGACCAACTTGCACGGTTTGCCCAGGACAGAAGGATCTCCTGGGATATGGGACTTTTGGTCCTCAACCCAGAAAAGTCGCAGGCAAATGGGGATGACTTGGTCACCCTAATCATCCACCACATACTTGCAGGAGAACTTGAGAAGTTGCTTGATCTCTCTGAGTTCTCTGTTTCCTCATCATTAAAATGAGGACAGTAAGTGCTCCTCGGAATCCCTGGGTGGTGCAAATGGTTAAAGTGCCTGCCTGCTAACCAAAAACTTGTTGATCTCCTTCCAAAAAATTAGCCACTGAAAATAATGTGGACCTCAGTTCTACTCTGACACATGCGGGGTTGCTACAAGTTGGAATCGACTCCACAGCAACTTTTTTTTTTTTTTTAATGCTCTTTCTTTATAGATGATCACAGGATTCTATGAAATGAGAAATGTAAAGCACATGATCCCCTTTCCTTCTGATCCCGACAGTTCGTCCGTGGGTGTCACTCATCTGTGTTGTTTTCTAAACAAAGGAGTCAAGTCAGCTACCCAACCAGGCAGATGGTGGCTAAAGGAAAACCACACTGTCCTTGTCAATCCTTGAAAGAAGGTCTCCCTCCTGGGACTGTTGGCTGAGTAGGCAACTACCGTCTCCTGAGGATGCTGAGTCCCCATTGAGTCCTGAGGAACAGATTTCCGCGATGCTAAATATAAGCTGACTTCACTCACCTGCTTCAGGTCAATCTGGTATCTTGCAGCTTTTGGCTGAAGAAGAGCCAGAGCAGAACCTTCTTTTCATGAAACGACACAGGCCGTGAGCTGAGAGAATGAAGGAAGTGAAATCAGTCTTGTGAGCTGTTCCCAAGAAGGACGTGGATGGAGCAGTGTCACTCAGGGGTAGAGCTCATTCCGTCAAGTCTGCTGAAAACACCTGGTTGACAGATCCAATGCCTGGCACAGGGAAAATGCTCACTAAATATACTTTTAAATGAGTTGATTTTGAAACCATTTTGACATGTCATTTCAAATATTAATTAAACACATTCAAATGTACTTGCCCACACATATCTTTTACTAACATCCCATATCTATTGTACTGAACATTTATCATTAATCCTGTTATCATTAATCCTGTTCACTGTTTGTACCAGCAACTTCATCAACTCTTCACCTCTTTGGTCTTTCCTTCTCTCCTCCACATGTACCTAAAATAAGTCAGGAAGACTGTAGCTCCAGGAATAGAGCATGAGATTTATAAGTCAGACAGGCTTGGGTTCAAATCCAAGTTCCATTACTTATTAGCTACTTCCCCAAGCCTCAGTCTCCAGATGTAAAATGGGAAATTATAATACCTATATTACAAAGTTGTGATAAGAATCAAGAGACATAAAGCTTGTGGGAAGCACCTGCTAAAGAAAGTTTCATGGAAAAACCAGAATTCAAAACCGGGACGCTTGACACCAAAACAGTGATGTGAACTTGAGCAGTGCAACTACTCCGGAGCCAACATAGCCCATCATTTCAGGGCTTGGTTGACATTTCCTAGGCAGGTTGTTTTTTTGTTTTTGTTGTTTTTAACCTAGTATTCTTTTTTTTAACCTAATATTGAATACATATATTAGTTATCCTCTGTATGCCTAGTATATTAAAACATATTACAATGGATAAAAAGAAGTAGTAAGCACAATGGTTGCTGCTGCTGAAATACCTACAGTCTATCTGGGAAAGTAAGTACATATGTAGAAATAGCTAATGAATAATTCCAAGGAGCCCTCAACCATAGCATGCTAGAATCTAGAATATTCTGTAAGTCTGACTTTCCAGATGAAATTGAGATGAGCTGTTTGGTTTGCCTTGTATCTGGGTTCATACTACACTCCACGTGAGCAAACATGATAATAATGATAATAATTGCACCAGCAGTAGTTAACATCTATGGAGTGCCTATTATGTGCCAGGAACTGTATTTAAGCATTTTAGCTGCCATATCCCTTTTAATCCTCACAGCAGTTTTGTGGGCTCTAGTTTAAATACATCAGAAGTGAATCTCAAAACATAATGCTGACTGAAAGAACAGGACAAACTCATCTGTATGGTAAAAAACATAAAAACAGTGGGTGCTTTGAGGGAGTGGGGGCAGAGATCGACAAGCATGAAGGAACTTTTGGGGATCATGGTAATGTTTTATATCTCACCAGGGGTTTGCATTACACAAGCCTATGCATTTTATACATGCATATTTATAATTTCCATTTCCATTGGGAAACTCATCAATGGTAGAGATTTCTATGTTCAAAAGATTTAGAAAATTATAACAAATATTGTATTCTGGATAACGGCAAGATGCTGAAGTATTAAGGAGAAAGTGGTCTGATGTCTGTAACTTACTTTGAATTCTATAAAAAAATATAGATGGATGGATGGATGGATAAATCAGTAGATCAGTGGATAGACTCGTGATAACACAAGTTACAGTGAAATGATAATGGTAGAATCTTGGTGGATGTCCGAGTGCTTTCAACTTATCTGCGTATTGTAGCATTGTCATAAGGAAATTGAGGGGGGAAAAATAAATGCGCAGGGGCAGGCAGCTCACTTTTATCCCAGTTCTCTTAAGGAAACAGAGCTTTAGTGAGCTGCTGACTCATCCTTGCCATGACAGCAAAGCTTAAATTGGGTCAGAAATGGCTGAAAGATAGGACTTTATACACCTGGTTTGGCAAGAAGATGCAGCTGAGACTATTCTCCCTGGGGAGCACCGGCCCCTCCCTGCAGGAGGATCAAAGACTGGCCTTGCTGAGTCATCTCTGCCCTGTGATCCAGGGTGATAGGGAGTGAAGGTCCCGCGCATGTGATGATGAGCGTGATGCCCAGGGGGAGGCTGACATCACCAGGAGCGAATCACTGGGATCATTACAATGACCTGTGTGCAGCATTTGGAAGAGGGAGAGGCAGCCAAGTGCTCCCAAGGCCAGAGGAGGAAAAGCTTAGCCCTGGCCAGCGATGATGCATTCTCCAGTTGATCATATTTAGTCCTCGGTTAGCTTCTATTTGATTTGTTAGATCCAATATTTCACTCCAGTCTGGCTTCTGGGAGTTCACCTCTAGCAGGGCCTTTGTTCGGAATGATGCAACTGGGCCTGCTCTTTTGTTAAAAGGAGAGCTGCTGGTCAGTGGGAAGGCTCTGGATGTCACATCAGGAGGCTTGGGTGAGGGTTGCGAGTAACTAGCTTGGGGACCTCATGAGTCTCTTTAATCATCTGGGCTTCTGTTTCTCCCTGGTTCACAGGTGCTCTGCAAACACTGGCTGTAGGTTCACCATCAACTCCTTGTGAGGACTGTCCCTCCTTCATCTTGATCCTCAGAGGCTAACCTAGCTTCTCGGTGCACGTGAGGCTCTCCATACATGTTGGTTGAACTGCAATGAAGAAGTAGCCACCTCACTTCTGCTCACTATCATCAATGCTGCTAGATTCTGAATCTGGTTTTCATTCTCTCCTGTCACTTACCCAAGTCTCACTGCATGACAAATATGTTACTCAACTATGTTTAATCCTTGCAACAACCGTGTGAAGTAGGCATGGTCACCCTCATTTTACAGTTTTGGGAAAGTGAGGCAGAGAGTGGCCTGCTGTTGAGTCAGGATTGGAATCCACACCTTCAAAGCTCACCCCCTTATTTCTTACCACAATGGTGGATGATCAAAACAGCGGGTAGCTCAGTTTTCCAACGCTGAGTTTCAGCTTTTCCTCATGAGAGACCATAAGTAACAGGTTCTTCCACACTTGACCAAATAAGCAAATTTGTGAAAACGCAGGCAACAGAGTTCTTCTTAGGGGAAATCTCCAAATGTTCTCCATCTCTAGCTGCTGAGAAGGAACAAAGAAACCAGTAAATCTACTCTTAATTGTGGTCCGGGCCCCCTGCAAGATGCATCCCACTTTTGGATCACCCAAGCAGATCAGAAGTCCCTCATGGTGACCCAAAAGGGCTTCCAAGTCACTCAAAGTGATAGCAGAGAGCCTTCAATTCAAGGGCCTGAGTGATGGAATGACTAAGAAAAGATGCTCCTGATAGGCCCCGACCTATCAGCCCAGCCATTCATCTCGCCTGACCATAACCTTTCTCTTCTCACGGGGGAAAACTGGCCTCTAATCCAGCGTACAGCTCCACCCTCCAGATTCCGTTAGCAGGACTGTGATTGCCTTGACTCTTTGAAGAGGGGATAAAAAATACTCCAGCAAGAAGGATGGTTCCTAATGTCTTTATCCGTGAATGATACCTCTGACCCACAGGAGGAGGTTAAACTGTGCTTTGATGCCAAAAAGTTTATTCTAATCGTTAAATCTCATCATTCCTCAAAAGCCACATGATTTTTATCTGTCCTGCTGGAAGAGACTTTGCATGGGTTTCTATGAGCCTGGGCAGTAGTATCACTTAAGTACCCATATTGTACCACACACCATGCAAAGTACAGTGTGTACGTTGTTGTCCTTAATCCCTATAGTGGCCTTAGAGCTGGCACACTCACCCAATTTATGGATTAGGAAAATGGGGCTCACATCCTAGTTCAGAAGATGGTACTTGGCCAAAGCCTTGAAGAAAGAATGTGATTTAAATGCTGTTATTAGCTGCCATCAAGCCGTAGCCTAACTCATGGTGAACCCATGCACAATGAAAGGCTACCCAATCCTGCTCTATCCCCACAACTTGTTTCAGATCAACCATTGTGATCACAGTTAGGTTTTTCATTGGTTGATTTTTGGAAGTAGAGCACCAGGCCTTTTTTCCTAGCCCATCTTAGTCTGGAAGCTCCACTGGATGATAATTGTACATGAGGTGCATTGGCTAGGACCAGAACCTGGGTCTCCCGCATGGATGGTGAGAATTCTACCACTGAACCGCCACACCCCCAACATGATTTAGATAAATGTCACATAATGGCATGGCATTGCGGCTGGGGAATGGCACTTAGATCCAGTCACTCTGGCTGTGTGACCTTGGGAAAGTCACAGAAGGCCATCTGTAGAAGGGGCCTGAGCCTTCCACATGATAATACCCTGATGATAACGCCTTTATCTCAGGACCAATCCAAGGATCAAATAAACTTGCGTAGAACAGTACATCAGACTGGGCCTGATAGATGAGAGGCATTCAGTAAGTTTTGGTGACTTTTAATCAAGGAGAAGAGATGAGACACAAAACACGTGGAAAGCAAAGAAGTGGAGATTAAACAGAGTATAACCTGCAGAAGGGGAGGTCAAGGAGCAGTGGAATATGAGTGGCATAACCAAGACAGAGCCCCTGATTTCAACAGGGAGTCTGATTGAGCAGGATTGGGAGGGAAGTAGGTGAGAAAGGGTTGGGACTGGAATGGCATGAGGAAGAGTTTGGACTGGACCTGGAGGGACACAAACGAGCCATCGCATGTTCTTGAGCAGAGGAGTGGCATGGCCAGAGGAGAGGTGTTTGGCCACCTCCCTGGTCTCTGGCATGGGATATTAACTTTGACATCACGTCAGCTGCCAAACTGCAGTCAATGTTTTTCTTGACTGTCTAATTCTTATAATTCTGTAGCAGTTTTTTTCAAAGCATGGTCAGCCAGTAGCCAAATCTCCTGGGGAGTATAAGAAAGTCACACAGTCGTAGGCCCTGCCCTTGTTGTTGTTGTTGTGTGCTGTCAAGTCCATTTTCAACTCATAGCAACCCCATGTCACAGAGTAGAACTGCCCCATATGGTTTTCTAGGCTATAATCTTTATGGGAGCAGATTGCCTGGTCTTTCTCCTGCAGAGCTGCTGGGTGGGTTCTGCCAAGCTTTCGGTTCAAATCGGCAACCATTGCACCACCAGGGCTCCTTAAGCCCTGCCATAGACCTACGAGTTCAGAAATTCTGGTGATCACGTCCAGGAATTCACATGCTTCCATGTGTCTGGATGATTCACATACTAAAAGTGGAAAGCCACTCTTGTACCACAAAGGGCTTCAAATGGTATAAGAAGAAGACCTCATTGGAACAGACTATCTTATCATAATCGGGGCACTGGTTTTCCAAGGGGCCATTCATAGTATAATAATAAACCAAGACAGGTGCAACCCTCTTCTAAACTGCCAGACACCTAAAAATAAAGTCAGCGAGGCAATGTGGGCTCAAGTCTTGGAAAAGTATCCAGAGGAGAAATTACAATCAGTAACTGACCTCCTGTGATAGAGCAGGACTTTTCTGGACCTGCAGCTCGTGCCAATTCAGAGGCCGAGGGAAGAGCCCAACTTAAGAACAGCTTACACCAGTAGCTAAATAGAGTCCTGGAAAGTGACCATCAGTCTTGGCAACTCTGAAACTGGAGGCAGGGTGCAGAAGAGGCAGGGAGAAGTGGGAAGAGATTCAAGTCAGGTCAACCGTACTGACTCCGCACCTACCATGAGGGAGATAAAACCAAAAAACCAAACCCACCGCCGTGGAGTCAATTCTGACTCATAGCAACCCCGGAGGACAGTGAAGAACTGCCCTACAGGGATTCCAAGGCTATGATCTTTAAGGATGCAGACTGCCACATCTTTCTCCTTTGGAGCAGCTGGTGAGTTCAAACCACCGACCTTTCGGTTAGCAGTCAAGCTCTGTAACCATTGCACCACCAGGACTAATCATGAGGCAGATAGGTAGGTCTTATCATTGTCCCTACTCCTGGTACCAGATCAGTAGGCACCATAACTAGGTTTGAAAAGAATGAATAACAGGAATGAGACTAGACAGCTCCTGGCTCTGAGGCCTCTGCTTGCACAATGTTATCAGCTATGCCTCAATAGATGGCTCTGGATATTCCCTATACAAGTCAAAAACAGTACCTAGAGTCAGGTAACTTGATGGATAGAGAGATGTGGAAGACTGAGGCCAGCCCTCAGGGGACTGTGACCTACTGCAAAGGACAGCACAAGAATATATTATAGTGAAAAAAAAAGAAAAGAAAAGAAAGAAAAATTTAATTCGAATAGGAGAGGAAGGGAAGGTGTTGTGGAGGAGGCTGGCATTTGAGCAGGGTCTTTATAGCATGATCCAATTTCAACAGCCAGAGGTGAGGGGTGAGAATATACAGAGAAAATTTTATAACATAGAGAAATACATTCAGAGAACTCTAGGAAATGCTGAGGATTCTGATGGGATAGAGCTGGTGATTTCTCTCCAAGAAGTAATGGGCGAGAGACTGGAAAAAGAGATTGGGAGTGATTCGTGAAAGCCTCGCATGCTAGACTAAGAAACAGTGTCGTTATTTTGTAGACAACGCGAGGAAGTTCGTTCAAATCGCCTTGGTGACAAACTGGATAGAGGACTGCAGTGAGCAGGCGTAGAGGCACGCATCAGTTTGTCTTAGAGGTTGTTGTTGTTGATGCTGCTAGGTGCCCTCGAGTCGATTTTGACTCACAGCAACCTCATGTGACACTTGTGACCTCTGTGACCTCAACTGCCGCATAAGGTTTTCTAGGCTATGATCTTTATGGGAGCAGATTGCCAGGTCTTTCTCCCATGGAACTGCTAGGAGGTTGGAATCACCAACCTTTCAGTTAATGGCTGAGCACTTAACTGTCGCACCACCAAGACTCCTCCTACCTTAGAGGCAGCAGTGTCTTTGTCTGCATCCCTGCTGGGTTGTTGTTGTTAGGTACCATCAAGTCTATCCTGACTCACAGCGACCCCATGTGACAGAGTAGAATTGCCCTGTAGGGTTTTCTAGGCTGAAATCTTTACCTGAGCTAATCACCAGCTCTTTCTCCCACAGAGCCACTGGGTGCGTTCAAACTACCAACCTTGCAGTTAGCAGGTGGGCACTTAAACATTATGCCACCAGGGCTCCCTGAGGCGGTGGGAGAGTGACTGTATATATTCCTAGAACACCTGTTTTTTTTTTTCCCTGGGTTTAGCACAGCACTGGGGAGATAGTAAGTGATAAATAAATGCTGGTTAGATTGGTTTGAAGGCAGGAAGATCAGTCTGGAGCTGCCCCAATGGTCTAGGCTGCAGGCATCATGAAACCCTCTCCTAGGCAGTGTCAGGGAGGAAAAAGAGCAGGGGGCAAATAAAAGATAAGAGGGGACAGGATCCACATTTTCCTGACTTTCTGGAGTTTTATAGCATTAAATTGCTGCCCCAGCTTAGATATAAGGTTATTTGATAGATTGATTGCCCTGCCCTTGTAGAGCTTCTGGATGTGAGCCCTTCACAATTTACAACATGCTTTCATATCCACTAGCTCATTTGAGGAGCCCTGGTGGTGTAGTAGTTAAGAGCTTGGCAGATAATCAAAAGGTCAGCAGTTCAAATCCACCAGCAGCTCCTTGGAAACCCTATGGGACAGTTCTACTCTGTCCTATAGGGTTGCTACGAGTCAGAACTGACTCAACAGCACCTAAAAACGACAACAGCTCATTAGATTCTTAAAACTCCTACAGGAAGCTATTTTCAGTAGCCTCCACTTGCAGATAAGAATACCAACATTCAGAGAGGTCAACTAAAGTTTCAGAGCTATGCGGTCAGTAAGCTTTCATGCCCCCTAGACTGACAGCCTGTCGTTGTCCCTACTCCTGGTACCAGATTAGTAGACTTCATAGCTAGGTTTTAAAAGAATAAACAACAGTCTAGGATTAGACAGCTTCTGGCTCCAAGGCCTCTGCTTGCTCTATGATATCAGCTATGCCTCAATAGATTGCTTTGGATAGTCCCTACACAAGTCAAAAACAGTACCTAGACTCAGGTAAAGAAAAGGAAATTCATATTCCTCATATCTCCAGCTCCCAATTCTAGTGTGAGTACAGTGAGGGTATCTGCTCAATGTAGTTGCAAAGTCTAGGGATTCAGGCATAGTAGGATCCAG